CTGAGATTCCTTTTTTTGAGGAGGGGGTCAGGAGGTTACTTAAGAAGATTTAACATTTTAAAGTTTAAGCCTACAGAAGTCATTAGATTAATCCATAAGAAAAAGCAAGTTTGAGGGACTCACATTTTATTAGAAGAAATTAAGAAAGCAGAAAAGGCTGGGCACGGTAGCTCACACCTGTAATCCCAGCACTTTGGGAGGCCAAGGCGGGTGAATTACCTGAGGTCAGAAGTTCAAGACCACCCTGGCCAACATGGTGAAATCCTGTCTTTACTAAAAATACACAATTTGGCCAAGTGTGGTGGCACGGGCCTGTAATCCCAGCTACTTGGGAGGCTGAGGGAGAACTGCTTGAACCTGGGAGGTGGAGGTTGAGGTGAGCTGACATCGATGGCACTGCACTTCACCTCACTTCGGAGTGAGACTCTGTCTCAAAACAAAACAAAACAAAAAGAGCAGAAAAGGATTTTATTTTATAATAATGAAATACAGGGTATGTGTAATGTTTTTTCACATAATTTAGGTGGCTATTTTCTGTGGGAACGAAGTCATCTGTGATATTGAAGGTTAAGAGGCAAAGCTACCAACTGCTGCTGAGCCACTAAGCCACTGTTATCCGCTCTGGACAGGATGGAAGAGGCGGCTGCCTGTGGGCAGGGTGAGTCCCGTTACCACCACCTGCCCATGCAGCTGCCTGCAGGAGCTCCGTCTCTGCACAGGACAGGCAGAGGCAGGTGTGTACAGGGTCAGTATGTAGGCAGCGTGTTTCTTTACTCTCTAGTCAGACTTTTACAATGACTTGTGAGAAAAGTGCAAAAATGCTACTATCCCTCAAGTCAAAAGAACATCCATAGCTCTCACCAGCCCATTCACAGAAGAACAAACATAGGAATCACCTTTAGACCAGAGTCTGTTCACTGAGATTTCATTCCATATATGTCTTGATTTTAGGCCAGGAGTGGTGGCTCACGCCTGTAATCCCAGCACTTTGGAAGGCTGAGGCAGGCGGATCACCTGAGGTCAAGGGGTTCAAGACCACCCTGGCCAACATGGTAAAACCCCGTCGTTACTAAAAATACAAAAATTAGCCAGGCATGGTGGCATGCGCCGGTAGTCCCAGCTACTCAGGAGGCTGGGGCAGGAGAATCTCTTGAACCCAGGAGGCAGAGGCTGCAGTGAGCCAAGATCACACCACTGCACTCCAGCCTGGGCAATAGAGCGAGACTCTGTCTCAAAAAAAAAAAAAAAAAGAAAGAAAGAAAGAAAAATGTGGTGCATATACACCACGGAATACTATGCAACCATAAAGAATAATTTTATGTGCTTTGCAGGGACATGGATGAAGCTGGAAACCATCATTCTCAGCAAACTAACACAGAAACAGAAAACCAAACACCACATGCACCACATGTTCTCACTCATAAGTGGGACTTGAACAATGAGAACCCATGGACACAGGGAGGGGAACATCCCACACTGGGCCTGTTTGGGGGCAGGTGGGGGACTAGGGGAGGGATAGCATTAGAAGAAATACCTAATGTAGATGACGGGTTGAGGGGTGCAGCACACCACCGTGGCACGTGTATACCTATGTACCAAACTGCACGCCCCGCACATGTATCCCAGAACTTAAAGTATAATAATTTTTTTTTAAATCTTGATTTTTCCTTTTGGGCAGGCTCCAATATGGCTCTGTGCAGCACTTTTATTGGTTCTGTCTTTACTGAAAATTCTGATGTTTTGTTTATCATGGATTTTTCTTGCATTACTTTTTATTTTTTCCAATATGATATTAACATGTTAATTATTGTTATTACGCAATCTTTTTAGCACTCCCTTAAATCTTACAACCTGGTCCCAACCCTGGGGCTGAAGGTAATATTTTGGAGGGTCATCAGCACACGAATGAGTTAAAACCATGGAGGTGATGAGACTGAACGGGGAAAAAACACAGAGCAAAATGAGCAGAACATCAGGGCCAGAATGTAGGGGGACATTTGCATTTAAGGGTCTGTAGAAGAGAAAGGAGAGTCCTAAAGGGAACCCATAGTCAGTAAGGAAGGAGAAAAACCAGAAGAAAGGGTGTGGTAAGAACCAAGGGAGACACATTTCCAAGAGAGGCTGTCACATGCTCTAGATGGCTCAGACAGGATGTACCCAGGCAAGGGCATCGGATTGCACCTGGGGACACCAGGTGTGACATTATCAGCACCTTTGAGAGCAGCGGCATGGGAAGGAGGAATGGAGCAGCGTAGCTGACAGGAAGCTAAGAAGGTCAGCAGCTCCAGGTGCTGGATCTGAAGGGATGGCGAGGAGGTGCTGGGAAAGGATGGAGGTGAGTTCAGATTGCTGTGTAGCTTAGGGCGCAGAAGCTCTGAATAGTTTTGTAGGGGGAAAAGAATGAAGACCAGAAAAGGAAGGAGTGTTGAAGAAGTAAGAAAATAAGGAGAAGGACTGCTGCTGAAAGACAAAAACCCAGAATAAATGCAGCTTCAGCCTGAGGACGGATTATCTGCCTTGCTGCTGTGCTCACATGAAGCTGCCGACACAAGCCTGAGCCCTGGAAAGTGTCTCAGCTCCCAGCCCTCTCTCCGGTTTCCATCATCTTCATTTGCAGCTTTTCAGGTTCTGTGACCTCTCCCAATGCCCCTTTTGGTTCCCAGACTTACCTCTCACCATCAGCCCAGATGCAAGGATGAGCGACCTCATGTAGGAGTTGCTCTCCGGCATTGATTGATTGGCTTATTGATTGACAGAGTTGCACTCTTATTGCCAGGCTGAAGTGCAGTGGCACGATCTCGGCTCACTGCAATCGCCACCTTCCAGGTTCAAGTGATTCTCCTGCCTCAGCCTCCCAAGTAGCTGGGATTACAGGTATGTGCCACCATGCCCAGCTAATTTTGTACTTTTAGTAGAGACAGGATTTCTCCAGGTTAGTCAGGCTGATCTAGAACTCCCAACCTCAGGTGATCAACCTGCTTCTGCCTCCCAAAGTGCTGGGATTACAGATGTGAACAACCTTGCCGATCCTGTTTACAGCCAGTGCTCGACTTATGACCACTTTTGGGACCAGAAGACCGGTCATAACACGATTTGGTCGTAAGTTGAGTAGGCTATATGTACAGTTGAAATGGTGCACGCGGAGATGGTAGTACTGCCGGAAGCTGGTCCGCACTGTCGTACTCCCAGCTGGGCAACGTTTGCGCTGCCAGATGCAGAGCAGTCGTGGCTAGCGATTGTGGTGGTAAAGTCGAATGGTCGTAAGTTGCATAGGTCGTAGGTCGATCAATACCTGTATTTAATTTATTTATTTGAGACAAAGTCTCACTCTGTCGCCCAGGCTGGAGTGCAATGGCACGATCTCAGCTCACTGCAACCTCTGCCTCCCGGCTTCAAGCAATTCTCCTTCTTCAGCCGCCCAAGTAGCTGGGATTACAGGCACGAGCCACCAAGTCCAGCTAATTTTTGTATTTTTAGTAGAGACAAGGTTTCACCATGTTGGCCAGGCTGGTCTTGAACTCCTGACCTCAAGTGATCCACCTGCCTTGGCCTCCCAAAGAGCTGGGATTACTGGTGTGAGCCGCTTGTCCTGGCTTTTATTTGTTTATTTTAATTTTTTTATTATTTAATTTTGTTATTATTTTCTCTTTTATTGTTTCTCCTGAAAATTTTAGCCTCCCTACACCCCAGAACCTGCTGGCCACATTCCTAAGGGAGCAACACTCATTCCTCAGCCTGCCTCTCACCCAGCTCCTGCCTTGTAGAGCCCTAGGGAGGTTGCTCATGGCGAATTCACCCCTGAGGGCATTATTACTCACTAGAGCACAAGAGAGTAGTCATTTCTCTATGGGGAGTGACAGCAGCAGGGGAGGGACTGTGGAGCACCTTGGACCAGGGATCACTGACAGAGAGCCCCAGGCACCGCGCTGGGGTTGGAAATGGTACTTAGGACTCTTCTTCCCATGCATTAAGATAGAAACTCCAGTGCTGGAATTTCAGGTCAGCTTGACTCCCAGGTGGGGGTTAGCAAGGTCAGGGCACCAGGTGGTCCAGGCATGAGGAAATAGTGGGGATGGGTGACAGTGGACGTGAAATGGTTGGCCAAGAAGTCCAAGCAAGTTAGACAGGCAGTGAAGCAAGAGATACTGGCAGGCCAGGAAGCTGGGAGGCAGGAGGCAGGGGTCGAAAAGAGGCTTTGATGGGAAGGAGGAGAGGAAAAAGAAAAGATGAGAGGGCTGTGGACAAAGAAGGCAAAAGGGGGCTGGGCACGGTGGCTCACGCCTGTAATCCTAGCACTTTGGGAGGCCAAGGCGGGTGGATCACTTGAGGTCAAGAGTTCAAAACCAGCCTGGCCAATGTGGTGAAACCCAGTCTCTACTAAAAATATGAAACAATTAGCCAGGCATGGTGGCAGGTGCCTATAATCCCAGCTGCTTAGGAGGCTAAGGCAGAAAAATTATTTGAACCCAGGAGGCAAAAGTTGCAGTGAGCTGAGATCGCGCCATTGCACTCCCGCCTGCGCGGCAGAGCAAGAATCCATCTCAGAAAAAAAAAAAAAAAAAGGAAGAGTGCCAGGTGTCAGAAGTGGAGCTGTCTGAGGCTATGACAAGGGTCCACTGTGGCCACAAAAAGGGGCTGATATAAAGGTCAGCAGCAGTGAAGAAGCCAACAAGCTGTCTGGCACGATAGGTGTGCGGTACACATGAGAGGCAGTGAGAGTCATGGTTAAACATTCATTGCATCCACAGGGTCCACACTTCTTCTTCTTGACTTTCATCTTCATTTCATCTTCATCTTGACTACTTCTGTGTCTTCAGGCAAGCCACTGATCTTCTTTGACCCTTAGTTTTCTAATTTGTAAAATGAGAAGGACACTACCTGCACTTGCCACACTGTTTTAAGAACTAAAATGAGAAAATAGCCATAAATCCTTAGCACAGCACCTGCCACATGGTAAAATACAATCACTATTGCTATCATTACTGTTAGTGAATGATTAGTGTCCCCACCTGAATCTCATTTGAATTCCCAGTGTTGTGGGAGGGACCCAGTGGGAGGTAATTGAATCATGGGGGCAGGTCTTTCCCATGCTGTTCTCATGATAGCGAATAAGTCTTAGATCTGATGGTTTTAAAAACAGGAGTCTCACCTGGTGTGGTGCCTCGTGCCTGTAATCCCAGCACTTTGGGAGGCCGAGGCGGGTGGATCACCCGAGGTCAGGTGTTTGAGACCAGCCTGGCCAACATGGTGAAACCTGTCTCTACTAAAATTACAAAAAATTAGCTGGCTGTGGTGGCAGGTGCCTGTATTCCCAGTTACTTGGGAGGCTGAGGCAGGGGAATCGCTTGAATAGGGGAGGTGGAGGTTGCAGTGAGCCGAGATCACGCCATTGCTCTCCATCCTGGGCGACAGAGTAAGACTCATCTCAAAAAAAAACAAAAGAAAACAGGAGTCTCCCTGCACAAGCTCTCTCATTTTGTGCCTGCCACCATCCACGTACGATGTGACTTTTGCTTCTTGCCTTCTGCCATGACTGTGAGGCTTCCCGGCCACGTGGAACTGTAAGTCCAATTAAACCTCTTTCCTTTGTAAATTGCCCAGTCTCGGGTATAACTTTATCAGCAGCATAAAAACAGACTAATATTTTGCATAATTGAATAAGGAACACCTGATAAAATTTCCTGAAAAGGGCCAGGCATGGTGGCTCATGCGTGTAATCCCAGCGCTTTGGGAGGCTCAGGTGGGAGGATCACTTGAGCCCAGGAGTTTGAGGCCATCTGGCCAACATAATGACAGCCTGACTAGTATTTCTAAACTAAAAATATTTTTAATTAGCTGGGTGTGGTGATGCACACCTATAGCTCCACCAACTCAAGAGGCTGAGATGGGAGGATCTCTTGAGCCCCAGAGGATGAGGCTGCAGTGAGCTGTGGTTGTGCTGCTGCAATCTAGCCTGGGTGACAAAGTGAGACTGTTTAAAAAAAAAAAAAAAAAGCCAGTGCGGTAGCTCATGCCTGTAATCCCAGCACTTTGGAGGCTGAGGCAGGACAAAGAAAAAGAAAGAAACAAAGAAAGTTACAGTGGATATTTTTGGTTACCAAGCCAACACCCATTCTTCTCTTTTCTCTTCCTAACAGTTCTCTAATCTTTAGCAAGTATTTCGAAGTCACCGCCTCCCCACACAGCCTGTGTATTTCAAGGAGGGCTGACCTCATCCCCAGATGCAAGAATGGGCCTGATAAACCTGAGAGTAATCCCACCCCCGGGCCCCCTGGTTATCCAGGAGTGGGGATGTGCCCTAATTCAGGCCAAAGAGACAGCAGGGAGGTGTCCTAAAAGCTTCTGGGAAGGACCCCCACTTATTTTAAGAAAAAGAGGTATCCTGTTTTTCTCCACACGTTGCATTGTGTGGCTGTAAAGGCTGTGCTTTTGCAGATTTTTTCCAGTTTCATCTTTTAGAATATTGAATCCAGCTACAGTCATGATTGTCTTCAAGCCTCATGGCTTTAAATAAGCACAACAAGGCCCAGGATTTCCATATCTTGGTGCCCCACAAACCCGAAGACAGAGACAGGAGCTATGCTGAAAAAAGACATAAGCGGTATTTTCATTAATTCCAAACAAAAACAGAAGTGAGGAGTGAGGGTCAGAGTGAAAACTCTGGTTTCCGCTTCATGGGTACTTGGTGGCAAGCATCACCACTGCCCTCAGTTCTCTGCTTTCTCTCCTGTGCAGCTCACGGACTGCCTTCTCCAGCAGCCACTGAGGGCAGCAGTGGTAGTAATGTGTCCACCTGAGAGCCAGCAGTCAGCCTCTTTCAGAATCCTGCCTTGCACATACTTGCAGGATGTAGAGAGATGAGTGACTTCAGCCACCATCTAGGGCACAGTCCTTGATAGGAAGCAGCGGGGGTGGAGTTTCACAACTCAAAGCCACAAATATCTGATTAATGAGAGATAGGGCCAGTGGTGACATGTCTCCCGGCTTTGTTCTGACATTTGCTCTGTTCCATGTTTGTCTTGTAAATAAAACTGGGCCTGTGTTCAAAGAAGCTAACCCACCTTCACACTGACAACAGGATTTCTACCAGAATTACTGTTCCAAAGCCTTTTTTAAATGGTATTTTAAAGGCTGGGCGTGGTGGCTCATGCCTGTAATCCCAGCACTTTGGGAGGCTGAGGCAGGCCAATAACCTGAGGTTAGGAGTTCAAGACCAGCCTGATCAACATGGAAAAACTCCATCTTTACTAAAAAATAAAAAAATTAGCCGGGCATGGTAGTGCATGCCTGTAATCCCAGGTATTTGGGGGGCTGAGGCAGGAGAATCACTTGAACCTGGGAGGTAGAGGTTGTGGTGAGCCGAGATCTCACCATTGCACTCCATCCTAGGCAACAAGAGTGAAACTCTCTCAAAAAAAAAAAAAAAGGTGTTTTAAAATGGCACTTTCGGCCAGGCATGGTGGCTCATGCCTGTAATCCCAGCACTTTGGGAGGCCAAAGCAGGTGGATCACCTGAGCTCAGGAGTTTGAGACCAGCCTGGGCAACATGGCAAAACCTTGTCTCTACAAAAAATACAAAAATTAGTTGGGCATGGTGGTATGTGCCTGTAGTCTCAACTATGTGGGAGGATTGGTTGAGCCCAGCAGGTGGAGGTTGCAGAGAGCCAAGATCACACCACTACATTCCATCCTGGGCAACAGAGAGAGGTCTTGTCAATTAAAAAAAAAAAAAAAACCCAATAAAGAATATGACTTATTTCATCTTCCTTCCTGCTTCCACTCAGACTTAGTAAAATTATCTTGAAGGGAGGAAGGAAAGAAAACAGGATGAGAGAGGGAAGGAAGGAGGATAGCAACTTCTGTTGGGTTGGAACTATAAATTTCTAACACATAAGACCTGGGTCTGTAGATTTAGGTTTTGTGATTTGGGCTTTTTAAAATTATTACTATAGATTTTCTAATTGACAAACATTTTTTATATTATGGGGTATAATATGATGTTTTAGGGTTTTCTATATATAAGACCATGTTGTTTGTAAACAGACAATTTTACTTCTTCCTTCTGATTTTGATGCCTCTTATTTCTTTCTCTTATTTAATTGCTCTTGCTAGGATCTCCAGCTGTGTTGAATAAAAGTGGTAAAAATGGGCATCCTTCTCTGGTTTTGATCTTAGAGGAAAAGTTTTGAACTTTTCGACACTGAATATGATGTTAACTGTAAACTTGTCATATATGAACTTTATTGTATTGAAATACATTCCTTCTATATTTATTTGCTGAGAACTTTTATTATGAAAAGACGTTGGATTTTGTCAAACACTGTTTCTGCATCTATTGAGAAGATTTTTCTTTTTTTTTTCTTTTTTTTTTGAGACGGAGTTTCACTCATGTTACCCAGGCTGGAGTGCAATGGTGTGATCTCGGCTCACCGCAACCTCCGCCTCCTGGGTTCAAGCAATTCTCCTGCCTCAGCCTCCCGAGTAGCTGGGACTACAGGCACGCACCACCATGCCCAGCTAATTTTTGTATTTTTAGTAGAGACGGAGTTTCACCTTGTTGGCCAGGATGGTCTCAATCTTTTGACCTCGTGATCCGCCCGCCTTGGCCTCCCAAAGTGGTGGGGTTACAGGCGTGAGCCACTGTGCCCGGCCAGTGAACTATTTTCTTTAGAGATGAGGGTCTCCTTATGTTGCCCAGGCTGGACTTGAACTCGTGAGCTAAGCTATTCTCCTACCTCAGCCTCCAGATTAGCCGGCCTTACTAATTAGCTAGCACTCCAGGCAAGTGCCACTGCACCCGGCTAAATGATTCTTATAATGTGCTGTTGAATCTGATTTGCAGTATTCTGCTGAGGATCTTTGCATCTGTGTTCATGAGGGATATTGACCTACAATTTTCTCTTCTTTTAGTATCTTTGGCTTTGGTATCAGCGTAATGCCTATAAAATGAGTTTGAAAATATTCCCTCCTCTTTAATTTTTTGGAAGAGTTTGAGAAATATTGATTTTAGTTATTCTCTAAATGTTTGATAGAATTCAGCAGTAGAGCCACCAGGTCCTGATCTTTACTTTCATGGGAGATTTGTTTTTCTTTTAATTTATTTATTTTAACTGCATACTATATCTGGCATTTCTCCCCATGATATCCCTCCCCACCCCCGCTGTCTCTCCCCTATCCCCCCAACTGCGTCCCGTGTGTGATGCTACATAGATTTTTATTACTGATTCAATCTCCTTACTCGTTATTTGTCTGTTCTGTAAGCGTAGTTTTATGTAACACTTCACGCACTTTGTACTTGGTAAACTCTCGTGGTGTCTATTTCTTTGTATAACAGAGGAATAACAAAGCATCAAAAGAATGTAAGATCAGATCCACTTTGTGACATCCACAAAGAGTACTGTGTCCAGCTATTGTTCACATTCATTTGGAACTGATCTCTTGAGTTCTCAGTCACTCTCTACCTGATTTGTAACAGGATAAGGAATGTTTCAAGTTGCACGTATTACAGACTCAGGCCAAGAAAAATAGTGCTAACACAGAAAACTCTGCCAAGATTCATTTTTAAAGCAATGAGTTTTCATCCCACAAACTGCATATTATTCAGAAGGTTATTCGTTCAAGTCAGAGTCCACATGGTTTTCAATAAACCACTTTTCAGATGACCTAACTTAGGAAAGAATCTCATGCCTGGGGTCAGTTTCTTTTAGGGGACATTTACTTAGCATTTGAATCTCATGCCTGGGGTCAGTTTCTTTTAGGGGACATTTACTTAGCTGGCTTGCTCTGGAGGAGCAGTGGTTTGACTTTGGCCTCTGATCTGGCATGGACTTCAGGTTGTGCAGCATGTGAGTCTAACCTTTTGGAGGCCTCTGTCAGGTTCTCAAGAAGGGTGGACAGAGTCCTGGGTCTCTATCTCCCTCAAGCACAGATTGCATCCCTATCCAACTACCAGTTTAAAAGACAGGAGACGGCCTGTAATCCCAACACTTTGGAAGGCTGAGGCAGATGGATCACCTGAGATCAGGAGTTCAAGACTAGCCTGGCCAACACGGTGAAACCCCATCTCTACTAAAAATACAAAAAAACTAACTAACCAGACCTG